GGGGTGGGCTCTGCGGGAAGGGCGGGCCAGGGCCTGAGGAGCCGGGGGAGGGCCGGGTTTCGTGGCGCGCAGGGAGCCGGGCTAAGGAACTTCTAACCCGGGTCACGCGCGCGGAGGCGGCGTCCACGAGACTAGTCCCTAGGCTCCTCTGCGGTACTGGTCGAGCCCAGGACTAGCGGAAGGGTGGAGCTACACACGCCACCTCCAAGGAACAGGGGTCAGGGAGGGATTGCGTCTTCCTGGTCCACGTGTAGAGTACTTTGTTGTGGTCCTGGGGAGCCTAACCGCGTGCTAGACCGGAATAATACCACTGAGTTACACAAACTACGGAAAAGCATAGGTGATTCATTCTAATTCACTTAATAGTATTGATACATCAGGTATCAGATCTATTTAGACTATTCAAAAAATAGAGTAAATGTTTCCAGGCAAACAGGCAAATCTTACAAAACTCTTTAGAACATAGCAAATCTCTTTTCTTTTTTTTTTTTTTTTTTTTGGTACCGGGAATTGAGCTCGGGGCTTCATGTTTGTCGGGCAACACCGGCTGTGAAATCTTTTTATCTACAAAGTATAAATATTAACTTAAACGTAATAAAGAAAAATTAGAAATTTGTGGAGAATAACTTTACAAAACTCATTTGCTTTTGTTTCGCAGTGCAAGGTCAGGGAAGGAATCCAGGACCTCAGTATCACTAAGCCTGTGCTCTACCACTGAGCTGCATTCAGTACACCGCTGTGTTGTTTTTTTCACCCCTTTGTTTTTGATGCAAAATTCCTTGTTTAATAATCTCTCAATTCCAATATAAGTCACAAAATGAATCTGGAAATATTTACACTTAGGTGATAATTTAATTGTCCAAGTTTGAAATAAAAGCTGGCAATTAAATATAGAGGTGTTAAGAAATGTATATATAGTGAATTCAAGGACAGCCTGCCTGAATGACAGAGTGAGATCCTGTCTGAAAAAAAAAAAAATCATATATATTTACCAAAACAGTTCATGAGAAAAATACAACCATTAATTAATAAGGCAGAAATCAATCCACTGAAAAAGATGAACAAGATGGAGATTAACAAGGCAGCCATAACACCAAAACTCAGAATGAAAATAGGAAATATTTACAGAGACCATTGATGTTTTAATTTCTGAGAAAGAGTAACCTTATCTCAAAAAACCCAAAGAAAAATACATTGGAGAAGATCGTCTGAATGTGTAGAACACAATATAAAAGCAAGATTTGATGGTGTGATATGCTATAAATTCTTAAAATTCTATTTTTTTTCTTTCTTTTTTTTTTGGTTTTGGTTTTTTTGAGACAGGTTCTCACTATGTAGTTGAGACTGACCTGGAACTCACTATGTAGCCCAGGCTGGTCTCGAACTCACAGCGATCCTCCTGCCTCAGCCTCCCAAGTGTTGGAATTACAGGTGTGCACGACCACACCCAGCCCTTAAAATTCTATTCTTTACAGAAGTTTTAACTTTTTTTTTTTTTGTACTGGGGATCGAACTCAGGTCCTTGTGTTTGTGAGTAAAATTCTATTCTTAATACAACTATATTTCTAATACCAGTGAAGCAACAAAAAATGTGACCAAAATCTTCAGTAATCCATTCTGAAAAACAAAGGACAGCACTTTATTTTTGATATCTCAAATTAAAAAAAAATAGAAATTTCCCTTTCCCTTTTTCGGACACACAGTAGAGCTCCAGGTATTTAGGTCTAAATGCAAGACAACATTTAGATACACTAAATTTATAAGAAATATCAAGAAATACATGTGCTTCATTCTAAAGTGAGATTTGGCAATATAAATCAAGAGGAACAGATCACTGATTGCACACTTATGGTTGTAAGTTGTACAGTCTGTAGGACAAGAAAACCTGATTTTCTACATCAAAATATTTCAAAGATGCATTCCAAGCAGATATAAGGCAAAATATGAAATAAGAAAATGTAAAATAGGGGGCCGGGGAATTATCTCAGTGGTGCTACCACTTGCCTTGCAGCACACAAGGTCCCAAGTTCAATCCCCAGTACCAAAAAAAGAGAGAGCGAAAGGGCGGGGGATTTAGCTCAGTGGTTCTGCCACCTGCCTCACAAGTGCAAGGTTCTGAGTTTGATCCCCAGTACCAAAAGAAGAGAGGAAAAAGAAAAAGAAAATGACTTTTTCATCTGGTAAGAGTGGAAAAATCTTCAGATATAAATTTTTAAAAGCACAAATGTTAAGGTGTGTGTAAAAAGATACAAAAAGAGTAAGTAGGAGGATTTCTGTTCAGCAAACAATATCCTCATTGACATTAACCCGACAATTATAATTAAAGTATTTTCATTCTCTACAAGAGATAACTAAAAAAGAAAAAAGCTTATTAAAAACTATCCTCGACACAAATATGAAAACATAATATAGGCAAATAAGTCATAGAAGGGCTTACAGAGAAAAGGACAACAAAGGTCTAAAAGACAGGAAAATGGAAGTGAATATCAATTCAAGTCAGTAAAATTCATCAGATCTGAAAAAAATCTCATGTTTGTCCATAAGACAAGTAGGAATTACTGCTCACTGGTGGTGGTACTGTGGGCAGTGTTCGTTGCATTTTAAATTAATAGACACTGCACTAGCAACCATCATGATGTTTTCTCTAATCTGTTTCTAGGACAGCAAGAAAGAGAATGCTCTCTCCTCTGTTTCTCTGTCTCTCCATCAGTCTCCCCAGCAAGACCCTGCCTCAAACAACAACCAACAACAACAACAACAATACAATAATAAATCAACTTAAAAATTCTTGAAAACTGGCTATCCCCATGTAGAAGAATGAATCTATACCCATATCTCCCACTCTATACTACAAAAATTAAAATGAATCAAAGATCTACATATTAAAACAGAAACACTGAATCTGCTGAAAGATAAAAGAGGTAAAACTCTTGAAAATATAGGTATAGGCAAGGACTCTCTGAACAGAGCCCCAATTGTGCAAGAAATAACAGCAAGAATCAACAAATGGAACTATATCAAATTTAAAAGCCCCCTCCCATAAAGGAACCAATCAAAGGGGTGAAATGATAAACTACAAAATGAAAAAAAAAATGCCAGCCATTTCTTAGGAAGAGGACTAATATCTAGAGTACATAAACAACTCAACGGGGAAGCATCAGAGCCGTAGGAGGGCTCCTTAGGGTGGCAGCTCTGAAACAGGACCACGCAGCAATGGACCCCGGCCATTGGCTGATGCTGGAGTAACCGATTTATACACATTTAGCTCCTGGATGTCACAGATATTTAGCATTAAGCATGGGGCTTTAAAGAATGTCCTTGACAGTTCATGAACTTCTCCTGAGGCAGATTTGAATTTCAAGGGTCAGAAACCACCGTGGCTAAGGATTTATCCAGCTCATGTGTCAGCCCCCCACCGCCTGGAGTGTGCTCGTCACTTAATTAAATGCTTATATAAATCGACTCAGATGAAGTGGTATGTATGTTTCTTTGTGAAATGTGTAAACACCAAGTAGTTTCTCTGGCTTGAGAAACTGAAAGTGTAAATAAGGATCAAAAGGTATAATAGATAATGTGACATAGGAAGAAAAGGTACCAAGGGGAAGGGGAGTGGGACAGGTAGGGGAAAGGAAAGAAGGAAAAGGAATAAATATGAGAAAAGGAAAAAAAAAGATAAAGTCTTTTTAATAGGGAAGGGTGGAGGGGTGGAAGGGAGGGCAGCGGAATGGGGAAAAAATAAGAACCAAGATATGTAAAGGTACAAATTCCCAATGATGAATGTCATTACATTGTATACCTAAAATGTACCGACAAACTTAATGAATAAAAAAAGAATAATAAAAGTGAATGTGGGGCCAGGGATGCAGCTCAGCAGCGCCACACCTGCCTGGCAAGTGCAAAGTCCTCAGTTTGATCCCTGGTAGGAGGGGAGTTTGAGTGGGTGTGAATGAGAAGTTCTAAGAAAACAGTGATTTAAAAATTGCTTTAGTGGGCCTCCCATGGTGGCGCAAGCCTATAACCCATCGCTCGGGAGGCAGAGGCAAGAGGATCGCCTCGAGTTCAATGCCAGCCTGGGCTGCATAGTGAGTTCAGTCAGGGCCAGCCTGATCTACAAAGGGAGATTCTGCCTCAAAAACCAAAATTGTTTGAGTCGTCTTATATTGAAAGACTCATCAAGAATGTGAAAGATTTCCTTATACATTTCAGTAAAACCCATTGTCCTTTATAAGGACAAAAGATGATGATGCTAGTGGTCTTTATAATTCTGACGACCCAGAAAAGCCTGGGGATGTAATCTTCCCACATGACAAGAGTCTAACATAGTTTCTGTTTGAAAGTAAACATTGTGAAGCCAGAAAAACAAAAGACATGCGACAGTGAAATTATTCTATATTACCACCATGGTAGATACACGCCATTTAAATATTTGTCAAAGTCCGTAGAATGTACAACACCTGTTGATGGTTGCTGATATATGTACTTGCTTTCTAATCATTATAGACTACAAGCATGTATTGATAAAAATAAA